GGTCTCTTCTCCATTCCTCCTGTTTTGGGAAAAAGGACCTTGTTTTCTTCACCTATACATACCCTCTGGCGTGGTTGTTGCTTGGCATTGTTGGATTAATGTTCTCATACCCCATTTCCAGCCCAATGTCTAGATGATTGGACTGGTTATCAACTCTGAATAGATCTATATTCCCGTCTAGAAACCCTCTCAAGCAATGAATTTCTACCAACTCTTTTCACTTGACGATACATATATTTTCTAGTGATCCATTCTCCTCTCGATCTTGTTCTAGTGTAGTGATGATGATCGCGTGGTAGACTTGCGGAAGCTTCAACAATCAATGATACCTAGGTAATTTCGAAAACCGGAAAATACGTGATTTGCCCCATTAGTTGACGAATTCTGCCAGTCGGAAAGAAGGACTAGTGCGTTAATAGTAAGCGCTCAAGGAGGCGGTGGGTTTAATTGCTGTTTACCCCGTCGAAGTCTTGTACTTCAACTACTCCATCGGCCATGGTTCCAGGATACTGTCGCCAATCACACACTGAAGCGAATGCAATATTGAGCCACTGTCGCCCAATTGGAACTATCTAGCATGCCGCTTTTTGCATTTGGCTCGAACGGATCGGGCCAACTGGGCATCGGACATGATGAAGATGTCTCTGTCCCTACAAGATGCCTCTTTGAAGGAGGCCAGACACCTTCTGAAGAGAAGAATGGCACACAGGCGAAGAATATCTCCCGTATCGTTGCCGGGGGGAATCATACCCTGGTCTTGTACCAAGACGGATCGGTATATGCTGCCGGCTGTAACGAGGATGGCAGATGCGGACACAACCCCGCAACTGCGTCGCTGCAGATGTTCAAGCGGGTGATTGTCAAAAGTGGAGATGATGGTGCTTACTATGATACGTTCAAGCACGTGTCGGCGACGTGGGAGGGGACGTTCCTGGTTGCTGGGTCTGAGGACCCGTCTGGTGAGGCGGACAGTATATTTGTAATTGGTTCCGGAGCGAAGGGAGAGCTGGGACTTGGACAGGGATGCACGAAGGCTGTCGAGCCGACAAAGGTCCCTAGTTTTCCTCCTCAAGGGACAGAAGTTGTGTCGATTGCCAGTGGCATGGGGCATACGGTTGTGGTGTTGTCCAATGGGGAGGTTTATGGCTGGGGAGGAGCAAGGAAGTGTCAACTTGGAGAATCAGCCAAGGGAATGAAGATTGTATGGCATCCTGTAAAGGTGGAAGGTATTTCCTTCCACGCCAAGGGTGCCGTTTGTGGTCGCGAGTTTACGGTAATTTCGGGCAACAAGGCCGCAGGGGAATATGCCATTATTGGCTCATGCGACAACAAGTGGAATATTCTGTCTGATGCTCCTGTATGCGAATCGTTGACAAACTACCGAGGTATAGCAGCCAGTTGGCATGGTGTTTATATACATCAGGACGACTTCTCTGTCATCGCCTGGGGACGGAATGATCGAGGCCAGCTTCCTCCTCCAGACCTGCCTCGGTCTCAGAAACTGGCTGTGGGAAGTGAACATGCTCTCGCACTTCTTGATGAGCACACTGTTGCGGCATTTGGGTGGGGCGAACACGGCAACTGTGGCCCTGATATCGACGCGCAAGGTAACGTGAATGGAACGTACAAGCAAGTTCCGCTTGAGATGCTTCAGGGTTCTGAGGTTGTCGGCATTGGTGCAGGCTGTGCAACCAGCTGGATTATAACAACATGACCACCTTGCAACTTGCGAAAGCCAGGAAATGTAATGACTGGTTGAGTCAACTTGCAGACTGGACCACGTGTGATGCACCCGCTAGACTTTGAAATTGACGACAATGGACATCAACGATCTAATCAAAAAGGCCGAGACCACGAACCTGCTGATTGTTAGCTCGTCGTTTGACACGAGGACGTTGACCAACCTGTGAAATGCGTTGTGTTGGAGGAATGCCCATTTCTTCCTGACGCTCTTGCTGGTTTGAGTCATGCGGCAGAACGGGTTCAGTGTCTCGCAAGCGAGGCCCAAGACTTGCGTTGAATGTCGCCTGAAAAACACGATTAATAATTCCCCTCCACAACACGACCTGGGAGCCCTTACCTGATCAGCTGTAGCGTCCCAGCCGAGCGTGTCCTCAGCCATTGTCTCGTCCTCCTCATTCGGTACATCCCACTGCCTGTCATCATCCGCTGGAACAAACAGACTGTCAAAGTGAATTGATTGTGGCAGTGGCTGCTGACTCCCAACATTAGTCTCTTTGACGCGGTCGATTGTCCCAGTCAGCGGCCGAATTGATCGACTGCGAGGAGGTGGCATCTGTTCCCTATTCGAGGCAGCATTGTTCTGAGAGACGTGCACCGGCGCGGGCGTTTGTCTTGCGGACAGCTCGGGAACGGCTGCTCGCGATGACGGGAAGTCCTCACTATCATCTTCGCCTGTCGTCATCAAGGTGAATTCGGTCCTAACCCCCTCGAAGTCATATGCAAGCTGCAGTGGTCTACAGGGGCGAGTGTACCGAGCGGTGATCAGCACGCCTGTTGTCTCTGCATGGGTTAGAATCGCTTTGAAGTCCTTCAGAGTAATGGCAATATGAAGTTCATCTTCAGCCGAAAAGTCCTCAAAGTCTCTTTTATCGATAGCCACGGAGGTATGTACTGGTTGTTTGAGAATCTCTGCAGGCAAACTAGTCAGTTCCAGTTGACCAACAGAGCTACTCAATGGCGCAGACCTTGCCCGTCAGTGATCTTTGTCGTAAAGCTTGTAAAGATGGCCTTGCCACCATCGGAGTAGATATCGAGTTGCTCTGCTGACGGACTGAAGTGGTCGGTAATTTCCTTCAAAAACCTGGGCTCAATGTTCCATTTATTAGTTGCGCTAGATCTGTCGAAGATGGCATGCTGAGCTGTAGTCGGTTCATAAGTGAGCTTGTAAGTCCTAATGACTCCTGCCAAGTCGAGAAAGAATAAGTGCTTTGGACCCCTGAGTGACGGAGATAGATTGCAAAGACGCACCCAGCCCACAGATCATTCTAATGACGAGCCTGCATTCTGTCTCGGCCGGATCTTCGTTGAGTTCAAACTCGCACCTTTCGACCGCTGTGTCCTTATCTCGTCCAGTGGTTCTCCCTTTGAAGATGGACAGCAAAGCCTTTCTTAGTCAGTCTCATCATACAACGCTCTGTTCTGGGCGATTCTCACTTTGAGATAAATCTGGCAGCAGAATCTATCTGACCGGACGTTTTCGCTCTGGCCATTATGGCTGAATGAGTAAGTTGTGAAGAAACTTGCTCTGTCGAGGACAAATGCAGCATAGGCGGTCTTGCTGGAGTTGATGACGCTTAGTCGAAGCTACAATTCCGTCAGTCATCCTGGCATGCATTGAATTTCAGATAGTTCAGTATGATCTCACTAAAGTAGATTCAGCCTCTATAGAGACCGTCTCACTGAATTTGGCCAGACATGAAAGGGCATCATGCATCCGCCCTAATGCCTCTGGGTTGAGTGAGAAAAATAGCGATGTCATATCCGTCTTTGGAAGGACAAAGACGCGAGATTCCAATATTATCAAACTGCCATCATACTATTGCTGAAGACCTCATAATAATGATGGTTTCGTTATCGTTCCTCCTCATCAGTTCGTTCAATCGCTCCAAGTCACGACGCCAGCTTACATAATCTGGGCCTGGAAGTAAGGCTTACTTGACCGCAATCCAGGGCAGCATCAACAGTAGGCAACAGTAGGCAAGTTTCAGTTTTGAGCAATATGTTTGTATGTTGCGTCTAATCAGCATTATTATCCGGAGTTTCGACTGAGACGGGTGAAAATCTGCCGCGAGTATGGCCTCAAGGTTGCCTGGTGACATTATCTACCTCATCGTCGAGATCCTGGGGCAAGAGAGGGACTTCAACAGCCTATTCCAGTGTGCTGTGTCTGCGAAATGTTTTACTGAGCAAGCTGTCACCACTATATATAAGTAGGTCCATATGTTCTATCTTATTGTCCTCTACAGATTTGCTGACTGTGTGAGTACAGATCACACGAACTCTCGCCTGTCAGAGGCGGTGGGACTGAACTTGGCATCTTGGACTCGACACATACTCGACGAAAATGGGCCACTATGTGGCGCTCTATTGTGCTTTCTGCTCTTGATCAAACCTATCTTCCATACTACAGTTACATCCGGTACCTGGATCTCAATGATTTATCGAATCTCCTCGGTCACAGTTCGTTCACCGGGAAGATCAAAGAGTATGTGCCCTGGCGTGACTTGCGAGAACTGTATTTGACAAGATGTAGCGAGTTCTTTACTCCGGAACTTCGGGATATTGTGTCTCACGATTATGAGCTCAAGGGAAATAAGCGTCTTCGCTCATTGCGGACTCTGCCTGACAATGATTGGATCTTATCCAAGATCGGTACTGGTCAGTCTTCTCCCGGATGTACCGTGTCCAAGCTCCCTTGGATATGCAACCCCATTCATGGTTGTTCTTCTAAAGGCTGAAAAGATCAAAGCTATCATCAATAGAACTAGCTCGATACGCGGAATGTCCTGTGACAGTAAGTGGGAAGTCCGATATATCTAGCGGAACGGGCCTCTGTTCCAGAAGCAAGTTTGACGTCTCGACTACTTCTAGTCGACCCTTCACTATTGGCCGAGTGGTTGGGAAAACTGCCAATGTTACAGACTTTGACTATCTGGTCTGGAGTTTCCCTAACTGACCATGCCGGTGACAAAATCCGAACTCACTGCCCCGATTTTAGGCAAATCACGATATATCGATGGTAAGATATCAGTGTTGGTGTTCGACAAAGCAGTATATTTACTGAGTCGGCCAGGATCGACGAACAAGGTCGAAATTCGGAGACTGATGCTGAAGAGTTTCTCCACGGACTCCAGCCTCACAGTCTTCATTATTTCGAGATGCTGAGCTCTTGTCACTTAGGGCCACGCTCGATAAGAGCTATCGGCACGCAGTTGAAATCACTAAAAGAGCTGAAATTGACAAGCCTTGGAATCGAAGCAATTGCAGAGTTGCCTTCATTAACAGCGCCGCCAGTGCTGGAGGTGCTTGTGTTCACCGATTCAATACCAGCAGCGCGGAACGAAGACTTTTATTCCACAGTCAATCGAGTTGCCGATTGGATTTGTAGCTGCAAGGCACTGCGACACCTGGAACTTAGAAGATTTGTTGATGACACGTTTCTACTGGCACGTGTCGTGGTTGCCGAGGATATCAAGCTGCTGAGTTTGTCTCTGACTGGGTACACAATGGTTGGCGCTCGTCACTTCCACAGAGCTTTGGCGTCTCAGGATTCTCTGCAACGTCTTAGTCTCCGAGGTGAAGGATCCGAGATTCCTGAAGATAATGAATTGCTTGTACAAGCCATTTGCCAGCTACGCAATCTGCATGAACTCGAGCTCAAGGATATTTCCGATTATTTCACACCTGATCATCTTATGTCACTCGCACCATATCTTCCCCATTTGGAGAAATTGTGGATCGGAGGCGACCTCTTCAATGATGATGTATGGAATGCATTTTTATGTCTTCCAAAGCTACGAAGTCTGGCCATCCATGCGCTCAGCGAGTTCACGGCTCAGGGTATACTCGATTTCATCGCGCAATTGGGGCCCGGTAACACAGGAATGAGTCTCACAATTTTGAACTCAATAACGAGTCTGACAGAGGAAGCACAGAGCTTAATTCGCGATTTCTTGAAACACAATCTTGATGGGACCTTTGACTTCGGTCTTGCACAGGGTGAGCGCCAGATCTCAGCCCGATAGATGATGCTAGCTGCTGACAGGTGTGATACAGAGGAATTCAGTGACACCGACACGGAAGGGATGTCAGACTGATTGACGAGAATGCATCTTAAACGAGCCTGCTCAGGAGCTAGAGTTACCTTTGGGCTCATATTTCTTGATATGCCCGAAAAGTAAAGAATAGTGGTCGGTTCTTTTATAGAGCGATCTCCGTATCGCAAAGTCTGAAACTCAAGTATTATTCAAAATTAGCCTTCACAGCCATGGTCATTTCAAATCTACAACCCGAATCAGGTCGAGTGTTTTGATTTGGTCCGCTCATGACGGGAGACCTACTACGGCGTAGACCAGCCCACTTTAACCGAATAGGGATTGGCGGGGGCGCGTCCAAACCGCGTCCCCAACGCGTCGTCATTTCCCTGCGCGATAGCCCGCATGGACCGCCATCCCTTCCCCAGTCGACACTATTCAAGATTGCAAGATTCAATTACTGGCAATTGCAGAACCCAGTCACCACCGTCGAAGTCATTTATGACCATCAATCGGTAGGTCAACCGAAATCATCGCGCCATGTCTGCCGCACGGGCGAAGTTGGCAGAGCTGCGAGCTCTTCGTGCAGCAGGAAAGAAACGTCTATCGACATACGAGATTGAAGAACAAGACGACATCTACGAAGAGGTGGATGACGAAGGTTACAAGAAAATTATCCGTAACCGGTTGGATCAGGATGATTTCGTGGTCGACGACAACGGTGAAGGATACGCGGATGATGGACGGGAAGTATGGAACGAACGAGTAGCGGACTACAACAGCGAAAGCGACGATGACGAGTTACCCGGGCGAAGCAAAGCCACCAAAAGGAAACGGGAAGAGGAGAAGCAGAGAAAAGAGAAAATCAACAATGGCATCTCAAAATATTTCAACACGGGACCTGCTATGTCTGCTCCGAAGCCGAAGGTGAGTCTTATTTACTTTGCCCGATGACTAGCGTTAGTGCTAATGGGAATAGCCCGTTGTCACGGCAGAAGACGAAGCTTTCATGGCAGATCTCCTCGGAGAAGTCGATACCAATGTCGTTGCGAATCATATTCCTACACAAAATGTGATCAAGTCGGAAACTCGACGCAAAGTCCGCATTCTTTCGCCTCCTTTAGCCTCGAGGCCACGAAATGAGAGGATCTGCAGAAAGGACGAGAACAGCGAGCCGGTCTCGCCTGTTAACCAATCACCGGACCTTGAGTTCGAAGATGACGATGGACCCCTCCCTACAATGGATGACGGCGACGTGGCCATGAGTGATCCTATGCCTTCTTCCCCCATCAGCAAAGTAGTTGAGAGGAAGTCGAATGTCAACGTAAAGAAGGAAGAATCTGATGAAGAGGACAACGATCTCATGGAGATTGCTCCAGCAACAGGTCAAAGTGAAGCCAAAATGACGAGTGTTAACATGGCTGGAAGCCGTCCGCCATCAAAGATAAAGAAGGAGAATTATACCACTCCTGCGAACTCTTCTCCCGCGAAAGCATCTGTGGATGTTCTGAACGCTTCTTGGAACGACGTCCGGAGTAAACTAAACGTCCTTAGCAGTCCAGCAACGGAATCACGGACTTTCGGTAAGCTTCGTGCACAGGATGTGATCGAAGAAGACGGAAGTTTGCGCATGTTTTGGCTCGACTATACGGAGGTCAACGGCAGTTTATGCTTATTTGGCAAGGTGAAGAACAAGCACACCGGTTCTCATGTCAGCGCTTTCGTCAAAATCGACAATATCCTACGAAAGCTTTTTTTCCTTCCTCGCGAGTACAGATACAAACATGGTCGAGTGACGGATGAGGAGGTGGATATGAAAGATGTCTATGAAGAGGTTGACGAGATGATGTCCAGGCTCAAAGTCGGGATGCATAAGATCAAACCGTGTACACGCAAGTATGCATTTGAATTGCCCGATATTCCCAAGGAAGCAGAGTACTTGAAATTGCTCTACCCGTACGACAAGCCGACATTACCGATGGAAACCAAGGGCGAGACGTTCTCTCATGTCTTCGGAACCAACACCTCTCTCTTCGAGCAATTTGTGCTTTGGAAAAACATCATGGGTCCATGTTGGCTCAAGGTTGAGGATGCCGATTTTACAGCCGTCAACAATGCGTCATGGTGCAAGTTCGAGTGCCAGGTTGCAAGACCTGCTTCCATTACTCCTGTGCCTGACACAGAGAATCTGGAGCCGCCGCCCCTTACACTCATGAGTCTTGCTTTCAGGACTCAACTCAATGTAAAGGAGAACAAGCAAGAGATTTTGGTGGCAAGTGCACGCGTTTACGAAAACGTCTCGCTCACGGACACCACTCCTCCTGAGAAACTCCCTTGCAAGACATTCACTGTCATGCGACCAGTTGGCTCTTCGTACCCACTTCATTTCGAGGCTGAGACGCGCAAGCAACGAGGCACTTTCATGCTGGAAAAGAGCGAACAATTTCTGCTGAGCAAATTTCTGGCATTGTTCGAAAAAATGGATCCTGATGTCCTTATGGGACATCAACTACAAGAAGTCGACCTCAGCATTCTGCTCAATCGCTTGAAAGAAAAGAAGACCCCCGGGTGGCATCGCATTGGACGTCTAAAGCGTGGCGAGTGGCCCAAGAGCTTCAACAAAGGCGGAGGATTCTTTGCTGAAAGGCACTTGATCGCTGGAAGATTAATGTGCGATGTAGCGAATGACATGGGAAAGGTAAGATTTTTGTGGCAATAAGTCGAG